ATGCCTATGTAAAGTTGTGTACAAGAATATTCTTAGCACTTATGCATGGCAATAACCATAAACTTAACACAAACATCCATCGACAGGTGAAGAGATCAAAGAAAAGAAAAAAGAGACAAAACAAACCTACAACAGAATACTTCACAATAGACAAAATTAATAAATGCTATAACATGATTGACACTTAAAAAATTGCTTTGCTGAAAGAAGCTAGATCTCTCAAAAAATTGCATACTGTATTATCCCATTTGTGTAAGACTTGAAAATGCAAACTCTGGTGGTAGAAATCTGATTAATGATTTCCTAGATGTACTCCTTGCAAATACCTTTTATAAGAAACATAAAACAGCGATTATATATAAGGACCTCACCTCATGTCTGCACAAGAATCAGATTGACTACATACGTGGAAAGAATCACTGGAGAAGCTCAGGATCAGCTGCGAAAACTAGGCCAGGTGTGGATTGTGGAACAGATCATTAACCATTAACATTATTCAGACTCAAATTCAAACTGAAGCTAAAGAAAATGAAATCAAATCCACAAGAACCAAAATTGGACCTTGAATCTATACTCCCTGGATTAAAATCATCTCAGGACCAGGTTGGAGGCCTTGGACACCAATGTGGAAAAGCCAAATCAGCTGGATATCAACAATATTATACATGAAGAATGCCAAAAGTCATTACAAAGACATAAGAATAGACCAAGACGAATGTTAGAAGAGACTGAATATTGCACTAGAGCAATGAGATGTAAAAGAAAAAGGAAGAAAGCAGGAAGTCAAGTATTATAATGAAATGTGCAAAGAGAACACTGTATGGTTCAAAATCAGGAAAGGAGTGTCAGGGATGTGTCCTGTCTCCAAACCTTTTCCATCTATATGCAGAACAGATCATTCAGGAGGCTGGGCTTTGAGAGGAAAAATGTAACATCAGGATTGGAGAAAGACTCATCAATAAGCTGTGTTATACAGATGATAACAATCCTGCTTGCTGAAAATGACGAAGTCCTGAAGCATTTGCTGCAGAGGATCAAAGACTGTAGTCAGCAACATGAATTGAAGCTCAATATTAAGAATCCGAAGATTCTCACCATTAGGCCAATTGGCGATCATGACAGATGGAGAAGAGGTTGAGATTGCTAACAATTTCAGCTTGCCTGGTTCCACTCTTAGCACCAGCAGGAGGAAATTTAAAGACAGATGCATTAGGAAAATGTGCTGTCTGGATCTCTCCAGAGTGCTAAAAAGCAACAAAATCTAGAGACTAAGGTGTGCCTGATCCAGGCCATGATCTTACCAGAGAGCTGGATAATCACTAGAGATGACAGAATCGATGCCCTTGAGTTGTGGTGTTGGAGAAAATTATTGAACATATCACAGTCTGCCAAGAAAACTAATAGGTCTGTCTTGGAGAGGGTGAAGCCAAGCTTTTCCTCAGAGGCAATTATTTTGAGGCTCCATCTCACATACTTTGGGCATTGTGCAAAGGAGACCGGTCCATGGAAAAGGTTATCCTGCTGGGAAGGCTGGAGGGACAGCACAAGAGAGGAAGATCTCAGATGAGATGAACTGACACTATAACTGAGATGATGAGTGTAGGTTTCAGAAATAGTAAGATTGGCCCAGAATAGAGCAGGGTTCAGAGCTACTGTGCTATGAGCCGTCACTGTGAGTTGTGGTCGACATGACAGCACATAAAAATAAACTATGAGCAACAACAGGGTAGGAGACTTTCAGAACCAACAATGTTCTTAATTCTGATGTTTTCATGGGTATACAGGTCTAAACTTTTGAAAGCACACACTTGATGAAGCTTATAGCACACTAGCTTTATTTCTATATAAAACTGTCTTGAAAAAAGCTAGAAGTGAGATTACGTGGTAAAAGAACCATTTATTCATTTTATGCAGATGGCAGAATCTCCCACACTTTTTTATGTAGATGGAAATACCTTTTGTGATTTCTTTTTTTTCCCCCTTATCAAAGTACAGACTGGATTGGAATTTCAGAGTTCTTTAAAACAGTGCTATTCAAAACACTGTCCTAATTTTTAAACAAAAGGGGGCAACTTAACAAATTTCTGTCCTATAAACTTACTAGTCTGTAACAATACAAAAGCTGGAATATGTGTACGGAGGCGATATTCACTAAGCTTACCTTAACTGGGTACTCTGTCCCTGAAAGGGACTATAAATTTGAAGAGGCTTTGATTCCATAGGAAGGTGTTATTGCGACAGGAGAGAGAGATACTTAGGCATATCTCGAAGCACAATCTTTGATGCAGTGAAAAAAATGTGAACGATCTCACTCGACATTTGCAAGCTCAAGTCTGTTCATGCCTACCTTTGCTTACGGGGTAATCCAACACTATCTCGCTAAGGCAGAAACCTGTCAGAGCAGGACAAAGCAAATACTTCACAGTCAAATGAGCTACAGAAAACTCACAAGGCTCAGAAAAACCAGGCCATTTCAACAAATTCCAGCTTACACAGGTGGCACAGGATAAGCAAGTTATGTTGTTGTTGTTGTTAAGTGCTGTCGAGTCACAGGCAACTTATAGCGACCCTATGAAAGAGAGTCCTGAAGCTTGGGTGTCTCTCATCTTCTCTCCAAGTTCATAGGGTTTCCAAGGCAAGCTATTACGGAAGTGGATGCTACTCCTCCTTCCAAGCTAAGCAAGTTATATCAGAAGGAAAAGAAACTATTTCATCCCACTGACAGTGTTACAAAACATCTTCCATGAAGGAAGCCATCTGTAGATGAACATTCTGATATCAAGTGCCTCATCTCATCACAGACCAAAAATGAATTGATGATTGATGTTCACCAACAGACACTAGTCTGTGGAATGGAGCTCCGGTGGCATAATTCGCCGAGAGTTGTCTACCTCAAGAGGGCAGACCCATTCTGGAAGGCTGAATTCACCAGTGGCTCTGACGGTGAAAGATGGGCCATCTCCTGAGCAGTTTATTGGTGCTGTCCAGTCAACTGTGACTCGCAGTGATCCATCCTATGCACAGTACTACCGCTAAACCTTGTCCTATCCTGAGCCCATCTTTCCCACTGTGAGGGCAATTTCCAGCCTCTAAAACCCACTGGAGGGTCAGCTAGGAGTCCGTTCTGACTTGACAGCAATGAGTTTATGAGGGTCTATGGAAAACATTTTAAGCACCATCTCACATATTAACTTTTCCTAAGCCTATCTTCACCTATATGAGTAATAACAACTGCTCTAGTCAACTTTTAGAACATTCTAATGAACTATAAAAGCCCTGGGGTAGAGCAAATAGAGGGAGTTCTGGTGGGTGGCCTAGTGGCAAGAAGCCACGTTGCAATCCCAAAGGCACGCAGTTTGTGGCCACCAGCTGCTCCACAGGAGGATGGCAATCTCGTCCTATACGATTAACTGCCTCTGAAAACTGGCCAGAGGGTCAGCTTTAAGTTAAGAATTCTGACTCTCTGGTACACAAGTGTAAATAGTTCAAGGTTAGACTATTAATGAGAAAGCTCACAGTTCAAACCCACAGGAGCTCCACAGAAGGCCTACTGTAAGATTATAGCTGCTTTAAAATCTCATAATCTCAATTTAAAAAAAAAAAGATTGTGGCTGCTACCATGTCATAAAGTCAAAAGTGACTCTTAGTTGATGTTCTTGCATGTTTTCAAAAGCTTTTAACTGCAAAGGAGGAGAATGGCCATCTTTCTCTCTTGGATTCAAACCTCCTATCTTTTGGTTGGCAGCACAACTCAGGAAGCCACCTGAGACGCCTTTCCATACGATTAGTCACCGAAAACCCTACAGAGCACAGTTCTACTAGGAAACCCACAGGATCCCATGAGGTGGAATTAATTTGATGGCAAAGGGCTTAATAGAGTTTGCATGGAATAGTTACAGCATAATTTATTTGAGTTATGAGCAATCATTTGAAAACAATCTGTGAAAATAAAATATTATAGTCTTTATTTGTTCAGAATGATTGAAAAGTGAACTGAAGCTAAAAAATGGTTTCTTTTCCAATGAATATCCAAAATTGCTAAATTCATTATCAGTTTTAAACAAAAATGGACCCATATATAGCTTTGAGATTTGTTAGTAATATATACACTATACAAGAATATTTATTCTTTTTATTAGAACATGCTTTCCTAACCAGACAGAAATTAATAATTAGCTGTCATTTTCATTTCTTTCTGATGTTCCAATAAAAGATTTTCCTTTATAGAATTCATACATACAGAATTGTTACACAAATCTATTTTTTTCACATCTGAATAAGTTTCTTTCTCAAATAAATTTTAAAGTATATAAACTTTCCTTTGAAATATGAGAAAAATGAGGAATCACCTGTGTTTTATACATATGTAGTTCACACTCTTTTAAAGTTTATTTTTAAAAATATCACAAATTAGTAATTACATAATATATTTCCTTGCTGTTCACACTCTCTTATGCAATATTCAAGTATATTTGTGCTGTTTGTTTACATATCATTAGAATCTATTTTTAGCTTTCAATATTAAACTGTACATCTACAAAGATTTTTCAAATATTAAATAAAAGAAGCCAGTCATTATGAAAATATAAACCGCTTCTACAGTTTTCTCATCTTTACTTCATTTTTTACACATTTTCCGACAAGCATATAATTTCCCGTTCTTTAGGGAAGTTGATAAGTCTTTATCTTGGTGATCTCATCACTGTCCCCTCTCGGTTTGGCATAACACATGGCAGGTTTTCTGAACACACAGTATTCACTCCACCGTGTCAGCTGTAGCAGTGATATGTTCTAACACTGATATTCTTCATTTCTAGTTATTTGAACTGCAGGACCACCTTCAAACAAACAGAGGAAAGGGTAGAGGATCGGATTATATAAAAAGAATGCTGACATATGCTGAAGAAATGCTTTGAATCAATGGAAGGTTAATGGAGACCTAACAACAAACCAAGTGCAGCACACAGAGTCTGTCAGGATCTATGATTTGGAATCACTCATCATTTATATGAAATCATGTCATACTCCCCTTCCAACACTGAGCCTCCAACACTGAAAGACAATGTTTTAACTACTAGTTTAGGCATGTGGACCTGACACTGAGGCATAAAGATGTTTAGAGAACGACAAAAAAACAGAAGCTATCAGGACATACACATAATATAAGACCCAGGAAGATCAGTGGCAAGGATTTAATTTAATTTGTAAGAACAAATGAGAAAATGTGGGGTACCAGGAAGAGAAGAAAATAGTGATTTCTACCTCACAGCAGCACACTCTGCTGCTTGGAAATCATTGTCAACATTTATTAAATACTAGGAGTAATTATTTAGCTTTCTCCTTGTCCTTCTTTAGCTCTGGTGGCCTAGACCACAGGTAGCTGCTATGCTTACCCAAAGGTCACACCTCTCTGGAAGTTCAAATCCACAACTGGCTCCAACTGAGAAAGATGGGCAAGCTCCTCGGCTGTGATTTACACTCTCAGCACCCCAGCAGAGGGTCAGCTGGGAGTTCAGTTCTGATTGGAAGGCAGTGGGTGTGAGTTGAGTTTTTCCCTAGCCTGACAATTCATTTTTTGTCTTCAGTGACTGTGAGATAGTAAAAGCTAGTTTCAATTATTTCACTGGTTTCCCTTTTGAGGATGACAGTCATTTTTTTATAAACATAAAAGCTCTTGAAAAGAAACTAATATCACAGTCCCAAGGTAAAAAATTCTTTTTTTCCTTTTTGTTTTTTTCTCTATTAACACCACTTACTTGAGGTATAAATTTTCATGATATTTCTCCTTTGTTAAGTATAAGCTCATTATTATTAAAGCTGGCGTGAACTTTTCTCCTGTTTTAGTTGTTAAATAGTTACTTAGTGATACATGTTATTTATAAAGACTTGATATTAAAATAATTTCGTATTTGGAGAATAACATGCCTATTTTTGTTTTGTGAATATCTATTTCTTTTTTTTTAATAATTTTAATGAACATTTACAGAGAATTTGGATTTCCATTCATTCATTGCTGCACTTCTCAACCTGCCCAGCTCTCTCCCCCCAGCCCCCTCTATTTCTTTTTAAGATGAAAATCCTACCAGTTCTTTTCTTATCATTAATAAGCACTGAAACAAAACAAATCTGGATTTTATAAGCATATATAAGCATGTTTGTTTTTCAAAAAGAACTACTTGGTAAGTTTCTAAGTGGTAAATAACTCATCTAATATCTAAAAGCAGAGATGTGACACATACTAACTGTGGTGTACTGGGTCTGTGGTTCTAAACAGCTATCCTAGGCCGATGCCCTTGACTTTGCCCCATGGCTAGGAAGGAACATGTGAAGACTACTGGCTAGTTTTGTCATTTCACCAGGTTGAAACTCAGCAGGAATGAGTGAAAAGGAGGACATTTAAAAGGAATGGATGATTGAAAATCACATTATGACCATCAGTAGCCTCACAAGGGGAACTGGGGGAGGGGAAAGAAGGAATGGGTGCATGAGTGAACAAATACTAAAACAATAAATGATTAAGGTGTACTTAAAAAAAAAGCAGATGAAAATGCAATATGCATACTTCAGGAACAAAGATTACTTAGCCACTCAGCCTCGGGCCCACAGGAGAGAAGTGGCAGCGACTCCAAGAGGACCAGAGACCCTACATGAGACAGCGCTAACCTGGGACTGCTGCCACATGGGGCCAAGGCCAGCAGCCTTCACTCAAGCTTGTTGGAGGACTTGAGGCTGGGGAGGGTTAAGATGCCTTAATTGGCAGGACTAAGAAAGCTGTGCAACACTGGTCTAAAGCCCTGAGGCAGAAAGGCATACTTCAAAAGCTGTCCTGAGAAATTATATCTTGCTGACTTCCAAAAAAAATCCCACAATCATTGAGTATGGTTCCGTGCGGTCAAGGTAGCTATTGCAATGGATTTCAGACCAACAGAGTAGGACCAGTGATGGAATTAGTAGAAATAGCCAGGGGTGGGGGAGCATGGGGGACACATTCCTCATGGGAACTGGTTTTGTGTTATGAATGCTGATGATGGGGTATTTCCTCTTTGTAGTTAAGAGAGGTCACATACGGCTATTCTCATGCTGCCTTCACTCTACATTAACAAAGTTTTGTTGTTGTTGTTGACATTAAATATCAGGGAAAAACCCAATCAGTAAAAAGTAAGCTGAGCTTTTCTTATATTGTTCAAGGGTAGCAAAACTGCAGAACTTAAACCATACATCAGACTTAAATACCTTATTAGCTGCTTCCAAAGAATTTATTAGATTCTGCAGCTCTTCTTTACTCATTTCAACAGAATATGGTTTGACTTCACCATTTTCTTTCACATCGAGATGAAGGTTCACAAGTGGCATCTGTAGTGTAGCGATCTTGTCACTAGAAAGTGCAAGCTGTTTAAAATTAGGAAAATGATAATGAATAAAGTGTTGAGAAGTATATTAAATATACATCAGAGCTAGGTAACAGTATTTTTTAAAAAATCTTGTTCAGTATCAAATACAAGGAAAGAGGGAAGAAATACATTAAAGTCCTGTCAAAACAACACATTTGAATAACAGAAACAAAGTGAATAAAAGTAAGAAAAGATGTTAGGAAAAAGAGTCAGCAGTTTTCTGGGAAAAGTAGGTATCTTGGGAAGGGTTGGGGTTGGCAAATACTGAATTCAAGAGAAAGACTTTGTAAAGAAAGTGAAGAAACCAAGAGCATAAAAGTTCACATATAAAGATATACCAGAACGCAAAATGGGCAAATGCTCAGAAATTAAGAAGCTTAATTCATGACCAGCTACCTACTAAACTGTTAAGGAGCAAGATATCAAGATAGCACCTTCAATTCCAACCACTCAACAAAATATTCAAGACATTTCCTTTACTTTTTACTGTCTCCAGTGTGTAGCCTAAGGAAAGTAAAAGCGTCAAGTACTGTGATACTAGGATTATTCCGAAACAAGCTCTGTAGTTTCTCTGGTGGATGTCAAAAGGCAACACAATTTTCCTGGGATCTGCGTCAGAAAATTCCATGATAACAGGACCCTTACTTGGAAGGCCACAACTTGCAAATATTACTTGTGTACTGATAAGGGCTTTTCTCCCTAACAACTGACCTCAAAGGATCCTCCTTGTGGTACATCTAACGTAAAATAAAAACCTCACAAATCTGCTCCACCTTCTCTGACTCTCACATTTCAGATTTGAAAGTTTCATCTTCAGGTTGTCCACTCTATGAATAATTCCCCTCGACATCTATAGGAAGTGATTTCTCAGCCTGTGCTTAAATAGCACCAGTGATGATAACCTGTGCTTTCTCATGAAGATGATATAATTTTCAGATATTCAGGAATTATTAAAAATCTTCCCTATGTTGAATTAAAATCCATCTTACTATAAATAAGGCCTTAACCCTTCTCTGAGCCTCTGCTGCCACATGGAATGCATTTATCCCACCATTCATATGACTTGCATTAATTTAAAGATAATGATCATATTCTTATATTTTATGAGTAAAATGTCAAGTCTTTCAAAGAAATTTCATGTATCATGATTTTAAGATACTGCTCATTCTTGGCAAGCTCTGGTGGCCCAGTGGCAAGAAGCTGTGCTGCAATCCCAGAGGTGCGTGGTTCAAATCCACCAGATGCTCCGCTGGAGAAGGAGGGACAATCTCCTGTACCAGTCAGATCCGATTTGACGGTACACACACAAACAAAATAATAACATTTTGAAAAGAAAAAAAAAGATACTGCTCATTCTTTTCTGTTTGAGTTCTCATTTTTTTTTTAATATCTAAACAGTTTGGTATGGGACAGATGGGGGAATGATTACATTAACCACAAAAAGATTAATGGTACCAATCAAAACATATAATATCAGGACCAGTCTTTGCTTTAAAAAACTACAGCCCTACCAACAAAATACAATATAACTTACAACCTATTTGAATTATGAGAAACTACACGTACTACAATCAGCACATTTTCCTGGGATAAAATGAGAAAAGTATACAGGGGATATAAAAATACTAAATTATATGAACACATTCTAGCCATTTGATTAAAATAATGGAAAACATTAATGGGAAAAATGTCAAATTGTTGGTGACACCATAAATAATAAAGGAGAACTGACAGATCAAGATTCGCTGAACCCTGAAGAGGAAATAAATAATGAGGAAGTAGAAAGAGAAGTTGTTAAAAAATTTTACAGTGAATGGCTAAAGCTGGAGGTTTGTCCTAAACTGTTTCAAGGGCTTTAGTTGCTTGAATCCAATGATCCAAATGCTGATTGCTTTGACAAAGTCTAAAGTTAAGAGATTAATTCCGGACACAGTGAGTTGTTAAGAAATAGAAACAAAGAAAAGTAGCATACAGACAACTCCCACTCATTCTCTGAATAGAAATGCCATCCCCAACGCCAGGGTTCAGATCTTCTGTTCATAGGGTCCTTAACAACAACAACAACAACAACAACAACAACAAATCCCAGGATTAGTCCAGATGATCCAAAACCTTTCACAAATAGAGTTATTATACCAAATGATAAAATGTCAACATCGCCCAACTCTTCATTGTCAGAACAAAAGTTATGATTTATATATTTTTACATGTATATATTTAATTATATCTACAAGATTATATACAATGTTTCATCTCTTAAAGATAAAGATGTAGGGATGCTGATAATAAAGGGCAGTTTAAAAAGAATCAATTTACAATGCAAACCTTCAAATGCATCCCAGTCCCAGGTTGGGCTCAATCAAGCTGTACTGAATAGCAAACTGCTGGCTGGAACTGATCCAGTAATCCAAAACAACTAAAACTTTCTTAGACATGTAACTATCAGAGACTATGAGGATGACGCAGGACAGGACAGGGTTCAGATCTGTTGTTCAAAGGGTCACTATGAGTTGTACTCTACTCAATGGCACCTACCAACAACGTAACAACTTTTTAACTGCTATTTTCCCACACTGTTCTCCATATTCTCTATAATGACAATACAAAACACTGTATGTAGAAACATAATGTATGCACTTGTCCTACTAGTCACTGTTGTTGTCATGTACCTAAAAAGAACGAAAGCTAATCTGAAATTGTTCTTTACAATTTGCTCTACTGATTATCATTCTGTCAAAATGTTTGTAAAATTCCTATTTAACAACCTATTATATCTGCCTCCAGTAAGAATACTGACAGATTTTAAGGCCTAGAAGGTTTGAAAATATCCTACCTATGTAGTAAACATCTATGCCTATGTAACTATCTTTGGAAGTCATACAAGTTGCCGCAAATGACGGTTATAGACATCATGCGCACTTTAATTGATAAAAAAAAGGAACATCGTTCGTACGCTCAACTTTATATGGCAGTCATAAACTATTGGAAAAAATGTGTTTCTAAGCACGGTCATCAATTTAAAAGTGTGCGGCAACATGTTAATGATATACAAATCTAGTTAATTACTTTTATTTTATCAATGCAATACTGTTACACATGGTTTGCATAATTGCAGGGTTCATATGTCAAAGTTAATAAAGATAATATTTAAATCATCTTTGTTATTTCCTTGGTTATAATATATTCTCAAAGTAAAAGAAAATTTAAATATATAATAGTAGGAAAACCAGTAAATATCTCTATGCCTAATATATAGCATATATACTTGTAAGAAAATATAGTCACCTTCAACTGCCAATCAAAATCCTGAAGCTGTGCAGAGGAAATGTCAACTATTTCTCCTAATAGAGTCTTCCTGATTTCATCTTTTCTGCTTTTCAAGCATTTCATGAGAGCTTCTTCATGAGGTGAATTCAATTTATTCAACTGTTGAGATACCTATGAGAAGAAAAAAAAATGGTTAGAACATCAAAGCAAAGAAATTACTGGTTTAAAATGTAACCACCTATTTTCACACAACCTTTAAAAAAAAAAAGACAGTAAAAGAATAAAGGGAGATACTCTGCTTTACTACAAAAGAGTAAAATGAGAATATTTAGCCAGGAAATAAGAAATTTTTAACACATTGCTCGAGTGGAGAGCTCTCTGCAGAGGAAAGTGCTGACTGATAAAACAGCACTGAAGTCATAGGCTGGAGCACGCCTAGAGAGGACTAAGGGGTGGCGCCATATACTGGACAACAGTGTTCAAGGCAAGGAGTACTATAAGAAATAGAGAAGGATGGTAAAAGGCTATTCAACAGAAAACTCTAACAATCTTAAGTTTGCACCCTCTAAAAGTTCTAAAGCATAAAGCAAACTTGGTAGAACTGAAGGGACATAAACACAACTCATAACTGACAGATGTTATGAGGTAGCAACTTCTAGAAAATGTATCCATGCTGTTGAATCCCAAACACTATGATAATCCTGGGAAAGAGGATAAGCCTAGGAGACAGGATAAGATTTACCACAAATACCATCAATTATTTTGTGAGATGTATTGAACATATCATGGACTGCCAGGAGAATAAACAAGTTCTGTGTTGGAGAGAGTGAAACCAAGTTTCTCCTTGGAGGTTAGGACTTTGAAGCTCCATCTCATGTACTTTGGGCACATGGCCAGAAGGGACCAGTCCTTGGAAAAGGACATCATGCTTGGAAGGGTGGTGGGACAGTGGAGGACAGGAAGGCTCAACAGAAACAATGGGAACTGGTGTGTCAGAGTCAGTGAGACTGGTCCAAGGGCAGGGCAGGCTTTAAAGCTATTGTACATATGATCACTATGAGTCGCAGGTGACTCGGCACATAAAAAACAAGAACAACAATATCAGTAACAACACAGGGAGTGAAAAGGAAATAAGCTACCTAATACTTTAAATACTGCAAAGAATTAAAATACATGAAGGGGATCTCCAGCAATCTACAAGGGAAAAGCGAAAACCATGCTGAAAGAAAAATTTTTAAAAAGCCACCAAAATGTGCAAGTGTTTAAACATCCTAAATAACTTTATAATTATTTAAAGATGCAAACACATACAATGTGGAATGCAAAACATGTGCCCTAAATTCAGAAGCTTGATGATATTGGGGGAGGGTCCCAGGAAGGGGCAGAGGAAGCAGTATTTGGCTGTATTTATAATGGCTTATTTCTAAAAATACTCAAATAAACAGATCTGAAAAAGGTAACAGTAATAAAAATTCAGGTGCTCGTTAAAAACGTATTGTTGTTAGGAACCCATCCAGTAGCTTGCGACTCATAGCAAGCCTATGTACAAGAGCCCTAAACCCTGCTCTATCCTGTGCCAACCTGTCTCTGACACACCTACTCCCATTACTCCAATCACTGAATCAATCCATCTCATTGAGAGTCTTCCTCTCTTGCGCTGTCCCTCCACTCTCCCAAACATGATATCCCTCTCCAAGGAATGGTCTCTCCTTGCAACATGCCCAAAAGTATGTCAGATGAAGCTTCAGAATCCTTGACTACAAAGAGGTGCCCGGTTTCACTCTAAGACAAACCTGTTTGTTCTCCTAGCCATCCATGGTATTTTCAACTCTTCTCCAGCACCACAGCTCAAAGGTATCAATTCTCTTTCTATCATCCCTAGTCACTGTCCAGTTCTCCGATACATAGCATGCAACTGTGAAGGCTATGGCCCTGATCAGATGCACCTTAGTCTGACATGATATTGTTGCTCTTCAGTACTCTGGAGAAGTCCTTGACAGCTGACTTTCCCAATGCAATTCGTCTCTTGATTTCCTGGCTGCTGGTACCAAGAGTGTTGAGGCAAGCAAACTAAGACTGTTAACTATCTCAATCTCTTCACCTTCCATCCTGATGCTGCCAATTGGCCCAGTGGTGAGAATCTTTGTTTTCCTGATGTTGAGTTTCAATCCATATTGAAGGCTGCAGTCTTTGACCTTCTGCAGCAAGTGCTTCAGGTCCTCCTCAGTTTCAGCGAGAAAGGTTGTGTCATCTGCTTAACGCAGGTTGTTGATGAATCTTCCACCAATACTGATGACACATTCCTCCTCATAGTGCCCAGCATCCCGAATGATCTGTTCTACATACAGATTGAAAAGGTATGGAAACAGAATACATCCCTGGCGGATGCCCTTCCTGATTTTGAACCATGCAGTGTCTCCCTGATCCGTTCTGACAACTGTCTCTTGGTTCAAGTACAGGTTTCACATAAGCACGATCAAATGTTCTGGGATTCTCATTCTTTTTGGAGTCAGCCACATTTAGTTGTGATCCACACAGTTAAAAGCCTTTGCATAGTCAATGAAGCACAGATAAGACATTCCTCTGGTACTCTGCTTTCTGCCAAGATCCATCTAACATTAGCTATAATATCCCTAGTACCACGGCCTCTTCTAAATCCAGTCTGTACATCTGGCAGTTCTCTGCTCATGTGCTGATCCAGTCGTTTTTGGATAATTTTCCAGCAGAATCTTGCTTACATGTGATATTAATTATATTTTTCAGTAATTTCTACACTCTGTCAAGTCACCTTTCTTTGGAATGGGAACAAGAATCAATTTTCCAGTCAGTCGGCCAGGTAGTTGTCCTCCAGATTTCTTGGCACAACTTAGTGAGCACATCCAGGGCAGCGTCTGTTTGTTGAAACATGTCAACTGGTATGCCGTAAACTCCTGGAGCCTTGTTTTTTGCTAATTCTTTCAGAGCAACTTGAACTTCCTTCTGCATCATCATAGGATCTTGCTCAAACGTTATTTCATGAAAGTCTCTGTGTCAGCCAATTCCTTCTGATACAGTGCCTCTGTATACTCTTTCTATCTTCTTTTAATGCTTCTTGGATCATTTAACACTCTGCCCAAAGCATCTTTAAGTACTGCCGCTCATAGCTTGAATTAGTCCTTGTTATTTACTGCATACTTAAAAAAAAAAGAATCTAAAAACCAAAAATAATCAATTTCCACAATCAGCTTTTCTATTTACTCAAAATCAGAGGTTTATATAGAGTGCACTTCCTGATGATGACAAATGCATAGTATCTCAGAGACAAAGATAAAATTTGTTGTGGTTGTTATGTGCCGTTGAGTCACATGCAACTCAGAGAGATCCTATGTACAACAACTCTAAACCCTGCTCTGTCCTGTGCCAATCTCACCATCTCCGACACACCTACCCCCATTACCCCAGTCACTGAATCAATCCACCTCATAGAGGGTCTTCCTCTCCTGCACCGTCCCTCCACCCTCCCAAGCATGACGTCCCTCTCCAAGGACTGGTCTCTCCTTGCAAGATGTCCAAAGTATGTCAGACAAAGCTTCAGAATCCTTAGAATTTAAAAAAAAAAAATTAGCATGTGCTTATTATCACAAAGAAGAGAAGTTTAGAGTGAAGTTACCTCTTCATCAGGTAAGTTCCTACCCACTACCACTTTAAAAAATGTGGTAACATCCTCGAGAACATGTGTCCATTCATCCGAATCCCATACACTTTGATAATCCTGGTGGAGAGGATAAGTCCGGCCACATATACCATCAATTATTTTGTGAAGTAGCTAGGAGAGAGGAGAGAAAAGGGAAATAACTAAGTATTATTACAAAACACATTTATTTTCAATATGGTAAATGTTGAGAAAAGTTCACTGTTTACCATAGTAAACATGATTTTTCTTTTAAATCAGGTCAGCATGGTTATATGTGAATCTTTGTATTATTAGCTAATAATTAAGAGTTTTACAAAACCTACAGGTTTTGTATTATGCCCATTTCCAAGAAGTTAAAACCATTCTACAGATACACTATTGTTTCTCCAATATCCCTGGAAGGAAGACAGCAGGCATTGTATTTCATCTTAGGATTCCTTACACAAAGTATTTGCATCAAAGGCCAAACAGATGGTATGACTTTCTTTTAATAAGTAGTAAATTTCAAAGAGTCAGAAGATGCTTCTTAATCCAGCTACTCCTCTGAAATCTATCCCATTTAATACAGCTAAATTTAGGGTAGGGAGCTCTGGAGGCTTAGTGGTAAAGAACTGCCAGCCCAAAGGACATGGTTTAAATCCAACAGTCACACTGTGGGAGAAAGATGGGCAATCTCCTCTCATGTGATTTACTGCCTAAGAAAACCCGCTGGAGACGTCAACTAGGAGTCAGTTCCTACTTGATGGGACTCAACAACAACAACTATTACTTCTTGCTTTGTTTTCCTTTTTCCTACATCAATACATAATTTTTTTGATCCACTCTAAAAGTCCCTCTGTAGCTTTCTTTTTCCTGTTACACACTCAATCTTACCTTAATAGGAGCAATTTAAATCCAAATGTGGTTATTAAATGATTGTTGTAGGTTTGTGCTGTTAAGTTAGAACCAAACCATAACTGGCCCTCTAACAGGCTTTTAGTTGTTGTTGTTGTTATTACACAGGAGGAGACTGTCCATCTCTCAAGAGTAGCTGATGGATTTGAACCTCATACCTTTGGGATTGTAGCGCAGCATCTTACAACTAGACCACCAAATAAATGAATCCCAATCTTAAATCTACTATTCCCTAGCTTTATCAAGTTATTGAGACAGTCTGTAAAAAGTTTATAGAATCATCATAAATAATCTCCATACTAAGACCAGGAGGCAGTAGTCATAACAGAGCAAGGAAACACTGCATGGTTCAAAATTAGAAAGAGTGTATGCCAGGGATGGGTCCTATCTCCATACCTTTTCAATCTATATGTAAAACAGATTATCTGGGAGGCTGGGCTCTATGAATAAAAATGTGGCATCAGGATTGGAGGTAGACTCATCAACCTGCATTATGCAGATGACACACAATCCTGCTTACTGAAACTGAGAAGGACCTGAAACACTTGCTGCAGAAGATCAAAGACTAAAGCCTTCAATATGGACTGAAGCTCAACATCAAGGAAACAGATTCTCACCACTGGGCTGATTGGCAGCATCATGATAGATGGTGAAGAGACTAAGACTGTTAACAGCTTTAGTTTGCTTGGCTCCACAATCAACACTCTTGGTACCAGCAGCCAGGAAATTAAGACAAATTCCATTGGGAATGTCTGCTGTCAGAGACCTCTCCAGAGTATTGAAGAACAATATCAGTCTAGAGACCAAGGTGCGTCTGATGAGGTCATAGTCTTTGCAATTACTTGCTATGCATCAGAAAGCTGGACAATGACTAGGGAAGATAGAAGGAGAACTGATGTCTTTGAGCTGTGGGGCTGGAGAAGAGTACTGAATATACCATGGACTGCTAGGGGAACAAACAAGTTCATCCTAGAAAGGGTGAGACCAGGGTGCTCCTTGGAGGCAAAGATTCTGAAGTTTTGTCTGACATACTTTGGACATGTTGCAAGGTGAGACTGGTGCTTGGAGATTGACATCATGCTTGGGAGGGTGGAGGGATAATGCAGGAGAGGAAGACCCTGGAGATGGATTGATTCAGTGACTGGGGTAATGGGGGTAGGTGTGTCAGAGACAGCAAGATTGGCACAGAATAGAGCAGGGTTTAGGTCTGTTGTACATAGAGTCACTGTAAGTCACAGGTGACTCAACTGAACATATCAACAACTCTCATAATTTAAGATTTAAACTAGAACACATGCAAAGTATCCTTCATAGGTACAAGGCACTGAAGAAAACTACCATCTTCATTTGTTGTTGTTAGATGCCGTCAAGTTGCCTGTGACCCATAGCGACCCTATGTACAGCAGCTCTGAACCCTGCCCTGTTCTGAGCCAGTCTCACTAATTCCAACACACTAACCTTCACTGCCCCTGTTACTATATCAATCTATCTCATCCAGGGTCTTCCTCCCCTGTGCTGTCCCTCTACCCTTCCAAGCATGATGTCCTTTACCAAGAACCAGTCTTTCCTGGCCACATGCCCAAAGTATGTGAGACAGACCTTCAAAATCCTAGCCTCAAAGGAGAAACTTGTTTTCACCCAAGTCAATATTATCATCATATTTACTATTGTTACTACCAAGACCCATGTCTTCAAATATATTAACTGAATACATTCTGCGGTGGATACTGTTCCATACGCTTGATTATAAGGGCTTTTGCTCTCAGAAAATATCGTGTTTCTAACAACTCTGAATTTAACAACTAGAGCTCCAATAACTTGGGGGTACTTTTCTAGCAGAAAGTTTTGTCTTTTCCCCTAGAACATACTCCACTTCACCTTAATCCATAATTTTTCCCCTATCACAGCCCACAGATTAGAAAATGATCCTACTTTAAATTGGCTAATGCACATTAAAAACAGAATTTTTATTTACCATCAACTAACCAACTCAACTTTAAATTCAAAGTTCTCTTCAATGCTCTTTGTAAACATAGAAGAATTAAAATATAGAACTCCAGAAGAATAAAAACACAAGTTTATAAAAAACATTACATTTTTAATTCATTCACACACAGTAAATGCAGAATTAAAATACAGAACTCCAAAAGAATAAATGAAAACATAAATTTATAAAAAATATTACATTTTTAATTCATTCACACACAGTAAATGCAGAATTAAAATACAGAACTCCAAAAGAATAAATGAAAACATAAATTTATAAAAAATACTACATTTTTTTAATTCATTCACAAACACTAAATAAGCATTTATGAAAGGGGAGAGAAATACCAATAAAACCATTAATAATAATAATAATAACCACTAATCTGTGTAATAATAATAATTACCAGTTATGGAGCCATTGGCACTTACGAAGGAGCTCTCATGGAATAGTAAGTTAAATATTGAGCTACTAATTGTAAAGACTGGCTATTCAAAGCACCAGTGAGAAGAGGCAATCTCCTTCCATTGATTACTGCCTCAGAATCCCAGTGGGGGGGCCACGAGGGAAACGCAACTCAACAGCAGTGGATGTTTTTCAAGCACATACCAGCATGGGCTCGGATAGTCGAGTGGCAGAATGTTCTCCTTTCATGCAGAACACCTGTTAAGCCCCCAGCCAATGCAATGCAGGCATGGCCACCACTGGTCTGTCAGCACATGCTCAAGTGTTACGATGCTCAAGAGCTTCCAAGCTAACACAGATTAAAAAGATCTGCTGATTTACTTCGGAAAAAAAAAACCCAACAGCACACAGACACTCTATGGATCACAACAGTCCAATCCCCAGGGTGCATTTGGTTGCCACAACTAAGAAGCTAACATCACAACCACCACTAGGACCCGGATACAAAGAGACTTAATTTGATTACATTTCACCCTGTTGCAATTGGAAGATAAATCATTTATTTGTTTCCACTGTGATCTGAGTGAAAGTTTACAAAACATATTAGTTTTTTATTCCATCAGATACAGATACTGTACTTTTTCTTATTTTACAAATTGGGGATTTATGGCAATCCTGCATCTAGCAAGTAGTCTATTGGTGCCACCGGTCTTACAGTGTGTGCTTACTGAAATTGCAGACTATTTCATACTTTAGACTGCAGTATAAACCTAAGCTTTATATGCATTTGGGGAACCGAAAAATTCATGTGGCCTGCTTTATTGTGGTGGTCTGGAACCAAAGCTGCAATATCTCCGAGAGAGATGCCTAGATTCATGATCCCTACATTTTGCAAACTCACTAAAAATTTCCTGGGGCCAAAACAATGTATTTCATTCCCAGAGCCTATGATGCTGTCTAAACACAGGAGCAAGAACCACCTGACTCTTCCTCACTTCTCCAGTCTTAGTGTCAAGGCTCCTCCCCTGCCACTCAAAGATCCCAAATGCCCCTGTGGTAGCTCCTTCTTCTAGTCTTTTACCTGACATCCTTGGCACACTTCTATCCCTCAGGCCTGTGTGGAACCTCCTGACCCTTGGACTTTCTAGGTGTTCTGGAAAAGCTTTCCTTTGCCACTTCAAAATAAAAAGCTAAATGAACAAATCACCCAAGGGTCATTCAAATAATCACAGCCGACTTCTTTTAAGATAATTTCAGACGTTAAAGTTTTCTTAAATTGGTGCTGTTTGAGAAGAGAGTTAGTTGCTTAGTCATTACTGTGTTGAAACTCTCCTCCTGTAATTACTTTGTTTTTTCCTCTTGGGGCTACTCTGTCTCCATACTAATCTTTAGAGATTAGCGATGATTTCTGAGTCTCTTCCATACTGCATTTCAAGCATCCTGTGTAAAGAAGTTCTATGCATTCTGGTTTTGAAAAGGACAACTGGCATCCTGAATTCTTGCTGGGGAGTGAAACAATGCAGAAAGGGAAATAAAAAAGGAAAGTAGCAAAAGAGAAATGGTTCGATCCTTCTTTTAACTTTCCTTGGGATAGTTCGAAGAGGAGGAGAACTCAAAGAATCTGCCATTTCTTGCCACCTGAATGGCCAGAAATGAAGCTACTTTTTCCAGATCCTCACCAGCCAGCTCGTTAAACTCAAAGTGTCAACACAGAAGTCATTCTTACAGGGAAAGATCATCATTCATCATCCTAACTGAAAGCTTCCCGTTATTTTCCGTCGTTCATAGCAACTAACTTCTTCCTTCTCCCTGTGGCAGTTAAGGGTGCAGAGCGATTCTTTGGGACCTCTGTATTCAATGAATGAAACATCTATGAGAAGGCTGCAAACCAAGGCCACCTCGCTGGCGACTCTCCACTTTCTCGCCCGGGGGCTCAGTAGGTTCCAGGTTGAGCAGGAAAACAGGTAACCTGACCCCAAGGGGGTGTCAGGGATTGCAGGTCCGGAAAAAGTCAGGCTTCGGGCCGACGCCCAAAACCTCGGTCTCTACCCCCAGCTCCACCGGGACGTTAGGTGGCTGGACACCTGAAATCACGCCCCTTCCGCCTCCCTTCCCTGGGGAACCCGAGCGAGCCGGCGCAGAGAGCACAGAGCCTGACCCGCGAGGCAGGACACCCCAAAATCACAGAGCCAGGCAGCCGACCACGCCTTCCTCACCTGCAGGCCACGCTCGGTCGGCAACTTCTGCAGCCGCCACAAGGGTGTCCCCTCTTCCGGCTCCATTCTTAGTGCGAGGGGAGGCTCATGTCACGTGACAGGGCCCGGTCTCTCTTGATTGGCGGGATCGCCCACGTGACAATCCATTCACCCTGGGCGGGGGTCAAGGGAACGAGGAGAAAGCCTTAGAAGCTTTTGTGCGCTTGCGCAGAAACGGAATCATCCTGTCTGCCGGTAACTAAGGGGTATCTTTTTTTCAGTTTGCTGTCACGTTGGTTAAACCCTCTCCGGTTATTTAAAAGCAGATTTGCAAATCTCGCAGCGTAGTTTGCAAATTTTTGCAGACTTCTATTGAACTTCATCAATATTCTTTAAGACTTGTTTGATTAATACGTCTAATAACATATTTGAGGCCCCCCTCCCCCCAACTCCACACAACTCCTCCCCTCACTTGATCCTGCAGCTTAAAGTATAATATATACCTTGTCCTTAAGTTTGGGGTGGTAAACTAAGGGTTTGCTATTTGCGAATCTCTATATACATTATAAAAAGGAGTGTTTTTCATCTCTATTTTCTTTTTTAATTTGTTATTAATTTCAACGAAAATTTACAGAGACTTTGGATTTCCATTCATTCATTATTGCATTTTTATCGCCTCCCAACCCTCTCCCCGATTTTCATCGAAAGTTGAAATAAATTTACCAAGTAACAAATATTATCTGATAAATGAGTAACAGGGTCAGACTTATTAATGGCAAATAAAAATACAATACTTGGACCCCAGTTAAATAAAAAATATCAGATAAACATGGAATAATTTTTGGTAAAAAATTCACTGCTGTTCAGTCACAACTGACTCAAACCTGACTCTCCAGTGGGTTTTGTTGTTAGGTGCCATTGTGTCTACCAAGACTCATATAGCAACCCTATGAACAACCCTGTCCTGTCCTGTGCCATCTTGATCATTTCTGATATACTTGAACTCATTGCTTTGATTACTCTGTCAACCTATCTTGTTCTGGATTGTCCTTTCTTGTGTTGACCCTCCAATTTTCTGTGTGTGATGTATTTTTCCAACGACTGGCCCCTACAAACAATATACCCAAAATAAGAAGATGCTTCATAGTCCTTGCCTCCACAGAGCACTCTGATTGTACTTCCTTGAAGATATATGTTTGATCTTTTGGCAGTCCATATGATATTCCGTGCTTTTCTTCAATAACACAACTCAAAGATGTCAATTCTTCTGTCATCCTTAGTCATTGTCGAACTTTAAGATGCATAACAAGTTATTGAAAATATCGTCTTTGAATCAGATGCACATTACTTTTTAAACTGATATCATCACTCCTTAACCTCTTTAACATCTTAGAGAGGTCCTGATAGTAGATTTACCCAATGGATTTTTTTTTTTCTGTTCCTTGACTTGTGGTGTCAGGGTATATAGATTGTGGATACACACAAGAGAAAATCTTTGGTAACTTTAATATTTTCATACATATTGGCTAAGTTGTATTGTTTTACTTTTTAGGAGCTTTTGAGGCAAATACAGCTCATGGCAACCCTGTGAACAATAAATCTAAAACCTGTTCTATCCTGTGCCATCCTCAGCATCTCTGACATACTTGTGCCCATTGCTGCAATAATTGTGTCACTCTATTTCACTGAGAGTCTTCTCCTTTGATGACTCTCGACTTTCCAAGCATGAAATCCCTTCCTAAGGAACAGCATCTACTAACAACATGCTCAAAGTATGTGAGATGCCACTACACCGTCCTTGCCTCTCAGGAACACTCTGCTTACACTTTCTCTGAAATACCTGGTTATTCTTTTGGTCGTCTGTGGGATACTTACTACTTTTCTCCAGCACCACAACTCAAAGGCATCATTTCCCCCCCATCATCCTT